CCTTCTCTTCCACCCCTCCCCCACTCTTTAATCCTCCCCTTCCGGGATATTAACCCGTTGCCTTCCCACGCGTTTAGTTTTTTTTTTTTTTGGTAAAAATAAAATTTTTGTGTCACTCCGACTAAGAGTAGAAAAAGTTAAACAAACAAAAAAGTTTTCACCAAAGGTTAATTAGCGTTTTAAAAAGTAATATTTGTAGGGAAAGAGAGAGTGAGAGAGAGAGATAGAATGGGAGGGTGGGAAGAAAAGGCATTGTTATAAATTCACCCCTAAAATAACTACGACAAAAAAATATTTGTTGTTTGTTAAAAACTAACAACTACGGTGGTGGTGGTAGACCCATTTGGGAGATGACACCTTAATTCTAATGTTTCTTCGCATTAACGAAACGTGCGTTATTTTTCCCGGGTTTTTTTTTTAGAGTGCGTATAATAAAAACGGGGAAGCAGACGCAGACACACACACACGCGTTAGCTAATGACCCGTTCTGTTGGTGAAATCTTTTTTCACAATTCAAACCCAATTCAAATGTAAAATTTCAAATAATTACAAGGGGATAAAAAGGACAAATATAATAGAAATGTTTGTAGGCGTGGTAGATTTCTGGCTTTATATACTCGATGATTGTGCTGTTGCTTCTGCTGCTGCTGTTGCCGATAATGATGATGATGTTTCACGTTTATTTTTCTCTCCCAAAAAAAAAAAAAAATTCACGCGTTTAAACCGACGGATAAAAATCGAATTTTGAAAATAAAATACACGCGTAAAACGCATGGTAATTTAATTATTATTATTATTATTATCATTATTATCATTATTAAAAATAAAATGAAACGTTCATTTTATGTCGAACGTGACGTTTTTTTAGTTTTAAGTGACTGTCACCGATTTCGCCGAATTATTATTATTATTTAATTTTTTTTATCGTGGATTTGTAATCGTAATGAGAACCGGAAAAACCGGATAATAAATTTTTTTATACATGAAATGAGGGTAAAACGTGCCTGACGTCACTTCGGAAAACAAAATATTATTCACGTGTACACACATATATATTTATATAAGAAAAAAAAAAAACGTTGACAGGAATTTTAAGGGTTGAAAAGCAAGGGGGGAAAATAAAATAAAAAAAAAAATTTGTATCGTGGTAACATCAACAGAATTTGATTTAATTTCCGGTATTTTATAAACGTTAAAAAAATAATATACATATATTTTTCCTTGTATGATATTATTATTATTATTATTATTATTGATAACAACGAATCCGCCATATTTTATTTTTGATAATATATATATAAATATATCGTATCGATAAATCGCGATATTAACTCTAACAAATGAGTTAAATACACGAAAATTTTACGTAAACAAAAATAATGATGATAATAATAATAATAATAACGATATGTAAATAAATAACGGTCGTTTTTTTATCATAGAACGTTTTGATGCTGTTATAAATATAATCTATAAAACTATAAAAATATTTAAATAAAGGATTGATTTTTTTATAATAAAAACTAAAAAATTTTCACGGAGGAAAAAATCTCCTCCGTTCGAAAAACTATTATTATTATTATTATGGTCACTCTTAAACACGACAGTATTCTTATTTGTCGGAGTTTTTAAGCATTTATTATTATTATTATTATTATTATCAAATGTCGCGCGTATTTATGATTGATATGATTTTTTTTTTTTTTTGTCAAGGGAGTTTCGGATCACTAAATTTCAACACAACATCTGGAATTATTACGTAATATTCCAAAACTTCAAATAATAATAATAATAATAATAATACAATTGTTATCATTATCGCGTATTATTATATCGTACATTTATTATTATTATTAATATTAAATAAATTTACGGTCGATTAAACAAAAAATTTTTTTTCTGAATTTTTTTTTTTTTTTTTGTTTCCTTAAGGGGAAAATGAAACGGAATGATGAAGAGAGAGAGAGAGAGAGGGAGAGAAAAGAGTACAAAATTTTAAAATAAAAACGAATATTTTAAAAAAAATGGCGGGGCAAAAAAAGATAATGAAACATTATTATTAATTTTTCGTTTTGTTTTCCCTCATATAATAAAATTACATCAATAACAATTCAATTTAGTTGAAAAAAAATTAGTATTTACGTAATTCGTTAGTCAAACAATACTAAGTATAAAATAGCGTGATTTGAAAAAATAATGCAAACAAATAATAATAATAATAATTATGGCGGAGTTTATGAAAAAAAAAGTTTTGAAACTTCTCAACGGGTTAAGAAAGGTGCACACGCACTTAACGATTAATTTAATTATTTAACTGGACGCATGGGTGCAGCAGATCTCTTGCTGTGATTGAGTCACCGACTACTAAAATGAATTGTGGCAACAAAACACGCAAAATCAGTCATTCTCTCGCTCACGCACCCCCCGCCGCCCTCCGGCCCCCCGCACGAAACTATCGATCCCTACATCGAAATAAGGGGAGGGAGTCTCCTCCTCGTTCGGTCAAAATTTAAATTAAAAGAGAAAGGGTTGATTCGGGGGGAAACCTTTTTTTTTTGTTTTTTTTTTGCGTTAAAAAATTTTGTTGTTCCCCCGCCTCCCCTTCTACACCCCCACAATGATTTTCCTCGGGCGTTAAGTAACCGAATCAAATGGCAATCAAATAAAATTTTAAAAAACTTTTTTTTTTTTTTTCCATTTCATTCTCTTGGGGGCCTTTTTTCTTTTTTTCTTTTTTTTCATGTTGAATAAGAGAGCAATTGAGCTCCTCTTGTTCAACTTGATTCAAACTGGAAATTCAATTTTCCCAAAAAAAAAAAAAAATTTTTTTTTTTTCTTATTCCAATTACCTTTTTTCCTTTTTTTTTTTCCTTTTTTTCCTTTAAACCTTTTCCCAAGTGAATTTTTTTCCTTTCCCTTCCCTTTCCTTTTTCAATTGATTTCAATTTTGCGGTGTAAATAAAAAAAAAAAAAAAAATTTTTTTATATATATATATAAATTGTCGCATCGTTATTTACTTTGTTTGCTATAAATCAATTTTGCGCTCTTTTATTTCATTTTATTTTTTTTTATATAAATAAATAAAATCAAACAACTATAATTTTGCTATTAAAAAAAAAATTGCTATAAATTTTTTTCTTATAATTTTTTTTACGATTCTTTATGTTGTTTAATTGAATTTTTATCGTAATAACTAATTTTATTATTAAACCTTTTATTACTCGCCCCCCTCCCCTCTTAAATGTTTTTTTACGTCCCCCTCTCCCCTCACACATTTTATTTACACGTTTAAGAAAAGTTTTTCTTTAAGGCTTAAAAAAATTTTTTTTTTTTACATTTTTATTTGTGTCAAATTCAAAAGGATATTCGAAAATCAATTTTTTTTAAAAACCTTTTTAAACCTTTTCGTGACGTAATCAACCGTCATTTTATATAAAAAAATTTAACTTATTGAAAGTTAATAAGAGAAAGAGAGAGAGAGAAAGAGAGAGATTTCGCGCGTTTTTTTTTTTTTTTTTTAAATTTTTATTGGGGTTAAATTCGTGGCGTAAAAAAAAAGGAAAAAAACGTTCAACTAATGATGATGATAATAATGATGAAATCGGATAAAGGACAAAATTGTCTGTCCTTCCTAATCCATCGATTCTCGTCGATTTAAAACAAACAAACAAACAAACAAACGAACAAACAGTTGAAAAAGATTTCCCGGAAATTTATTGACGTCTTAAACCTAAAAACTTTTTTTAAACTTTTTCCTCTTCTCCCCCTTTCCCCCCCGAAAAAAAAGAAAATTTTCGTAACGGATTAAGGCGACTCGTGTAAAATAATAATAATAATATATAACAAACGGCAACGTTGCATTTATAATTATAATTTTTTTAAAAAAATAAATCGATTAAAATCGTTTGAATTTTCTTTTTAAATTAAAATTTTTTTTTCTTTCCTTATTTCGTTCGTTAGTTAAAAAAAAAAAAAAGAAAATTTTTTTTCTTTCTTTTTTTAAAATGCGCCATTTTGAATTTTCCACTTTCTTTTTTTTTATTAAACTTAAATGTAAACGAAAAAAAATTTAAATTATAACTAAATAAAAATAAATTGACGTTAATGAGCGTGGTAATAATGAATTAATTTTAAGCTTTCGTATAAAGTAGAGAGAGAGAGGGGGGTATGAGATTATTATTCTCTCTCACTCTTTCTCTCTCTCTCTCTCTCACTTCATGCACTTTTTTTTGCCACCGTATTTGCATGGAAAATAAATTTTCTTGTTATTTATTACTATTAAAACTTTAAAAAAAAAAAAAAAATTTTATTTTGTACTTTATTATGTACAATCTCCAACATGATTTACCCGTCGATTATAAATTTTCCTTTTTAATGTAACCCTTAAAAAAAATCATTATTATTACTATTATTATTATTATTAATTCGCGTTTTTTTTCATTTCATTTCATTCTCCCCCCCCCCCCCCCGTTTTAAATTTAAAAAAAAAAAATTTCCAACGCGTTCGAGTACAAAAAATCAAAAACGAATTTATTTATTTATTTAATCAAATTTTTTTTTATTAAAATTAATTAATTAATTAGTTATTAACGAGGCCCCTCCTCTCTCTCTTTCCCCTTCCATGCCCCCCCCCCGAAAAAAAATTATTAATAATTAAATAAATAAAAATGGCGATTGATGATGATGATGGCGACGTCGAAATTTCATTTCATTTTTTTTTTTTTTCATAAACAAACTCGAATAAAAAATTAATTAGCTTACATTTTGATTATTATTATTATTATTATTATTAACCGTCGCCATATTTAATAAAATTAATTAATTAAAATAAACATTCGTAAAGTTTGTTTTGTTTTGTTTTGTTTTTTTTTTCATGTTTTTCAAACGATTTAATTTAAAAAAAAAAAAAAAAGTCGGAAGTTACAAAAAAAAAAAAAAAATCACTACGCATAAAACGTCATCGGTATTATTATTATTATTATTATCGTGTCGTGACTTGTCACAATTTCCACGACAATAATTTTGATGACAAGTTAAAAAAAAAAACAGAAAATGTTCTTTCTCTCTCACTCTGTCACACAATTTGTAATTTTTTTTCCTTTCCTTATAATTGAATCGGACCCTCCCCTCCTCCTACCCCCCACAACCCCCCGAATAAATATAACTAAAACTATCGGATAAAATGAATTAATTACCTGTACTCGTACTTCCGGTAAATTGACCTTCATGGCTAATTCTTCTCTCGAATAAACATCCGGATAATGAGATTTTTCAAAAGCTCTTTCTAATTCGTGTAATTGATACGTCGTAAACGTCGTTCTATTTCTCCTTAATTTTTTTTTATTTATTGAATCCGCACCGTCGTTATTTGCACTTCCGGTACTTCCGGGAGTCGTGGGACCCTGTACGGGACTCGCAGTATCTTCATCTTCGCTGCAACTTTTATCGTTTGTTTGGTAACGAAGATCGGTTATACCATCGTTCGAATTGCAACTATTTTCACCTGCGACCAAAAAAAATAATAATAATACTAATTTTCTTTTTTTTCTTTCCCCCCACCCCTCCTCCTTATCAATCGAATCCATCATTCTATTATTATTATTATTATTATCAACTCGTTTCTATCCAATTTTCCCGGGTAGTTATTAACATTGACGTGTCATTTGTCATTGAATTTTTTTTTTTTTTTTTGAAGTTGTTACGTTTGTGGTTGTTTAAATGTCAAATAAAGAACAAACGATTGCGAAATAAAAAAA